GATGTCTCCAGTGTGGATGAAGCTGATGTAATACAAACAAGGCTCGATTCGCTGCATGATTGGTCGAACAAGTGTCAACTACCTATGTCTAGTTACTAGACTGTTGAGATTACATACATTATACAAATCACGATAAATGTTCCGTTCCTCCGAACGATGACTCCGAACCATGCGGAATTTATCATATCGTTGAGTCTTTGCTGCCAAACTGCCAACACTCCTCCAGTCCGATAAACATTTTCCCTAGCATTCCTTTGTGTGTTCTACTCATGTTCTTTGGTTGGCCGTCTAGTCTCGTGCTGAACATGTAGCGCACGATCTTCGCGCTATATGTCTGCCAGCGTAGAGAATAAATAGAACATTACCTGCGTATGTCATTGATGCGCAGTCGGAGGAATGTTTCAAACATCGACTAGATTCTTACCTGTTGAGTTAACTCGGATCTTGTTGCTGCTTGTGTCAATGTAACGGCTCCATTTGTACGACTTGCAATGTTCACCTTGATCCCTGTGCCGAACGGGAGGCGATGGAGCTGACAACGGATATTTCCTTCTACTCTACATTCCAATGATCCTTTTTCTTTGGCACAGAATGCAGGAATGAGGGACATAACACCTTGATAGACCATTCGAAATACGCCTGACGCAGCCCAGCCCGACAAAAGTCACAAGTAAAGACGACGACTGAGGATATGGTCCTTTTTGGATCATTGGATGATAGAGAGCAGAACATCCTTTGTCAGCTCCTTCACTTCCCGATCATGGCGTATAAGGCGTAAATCGTTGGGGTAGAAGGTTCCGCAGAAGACCACTGTAGCTGCCTTAGAGGCAGCAGAATCCCAGCGCGCTCAGGTGAGAATCTAACAGTTGGTTGAAACGCCACTCTGTCTCAGCATCAACAAGAGGCTCCGGCAACCGGTTCCAGTCATTCACCACGCGAGTTGATAAAGCCAAATTGAGCCGCACACGGAGATTCCTCGGTTTAAACAGTTTCATGCGATAGCCTCGTGTCGAACTCTCAGTGTTGAGTTGAAAGAAGTCCTGTACCTCGCAACTCATTTCTCTTCTGAGAATACGTCGAGTGAATATCAGATCTCCTCGGTGACGGCGGTAACCTAGAGAGAACAAGTTCAGTGGTTGAAGTCGATGTGGATACGACAAGTCTCGCAACTCAGGGACGGATTTGGATCCACGCCGTTGAACCTTCTCTATCATATCACATTCGGATTTGGTGAGAGGGTAGACAGCGGGTAGCCCGTATTCGAGGATCGGGCGTACATGTGAGCCAAACAGGAATCGGAAAAGCTCCGGGGTCAAGAGAGAAAACCCTCTACGTATAGAATGGAACATCCTGTAGGCCGCGGCGTCCCTCTTCTGGGTTCTTGAATAGATTTGAGGTCTGATGACGTTATCACTCCAAGGTCCCTTTCTTGGGTTGCGCTTATGAGGAAGGAACCACCAACGTGGTAAGTTCCAAATGGGTTTGATGAGCCAACAGGAGAACGGGGCATTTATCACGAGTTACGGGCAACCGCCACTTAATCGACCAGTCATGGAGTAGATCGAGGGTAGTGTGTAACCTGTCAGCGTCTTCAAGGCTGGATACTTCTATCCATAGCTTTAGGTCGTCATCGTAGATTAGGCAATTTGTCTGAAGAGTGGAAGGTAAGTCGTTGATGAAGATTTTATAAAGTACTGGATCGAGGATAGAGCCCTGTGGGACCTCACTGGTCATGAGAACAGGAGCAGAAAACGTCATTCACCTTCCCTTGCATAGAGTGGTTGTTTAGGAAGTCGAAGATCCAAGACAGGAGGTTCCCAGAAATACAGATACCTTGGAGCCTAAACAGGAGCCGTTCATGCGGGAATTTGTCAAAAGCTTTGCTGAAGTCAACAAACACAACGTCCAAGCGTTTGCTGGAGTCTAGCGACCTTGCCCAGGTCTCATTAGCAACCAGCAACTTCGAGGTACAGGAGCGTGCCTTTCGGAACCCATGCTGGGTATAAGAAATGACATTCTGTCCCCCAAGATGAGGAGTAACAGCTTATTTTAGGATCCGTTCCATAACTTCACCCTGTTGACGTCAAACAGATTAGACGATAATTGGCCGGATCCTGTCGACTTCCTCCTTTGTAAATGGGTTTGACGATACCCACTTTCCAAGCTTCAAGTGAGCGACGAAAGACTTGACATATGGGTAAAGCTATGTACTCCGCCACAGTCCTGAGGCCGGGTGAGCCATACGGATCTAACTGAAGAAGGTTCTTTTGTTTTTGACCTTGCAACCACCACGCTCGCCTGACTGATGTGCGCCGCTCTCAAAGCTGTAAAAGTACAGAACGCTAACCAACCCACTGGGTCAGGTAACGACACTAAATTGAATGGCAGAAAGGCGAAACCGAAGCGACTCCCATCGAAAGGCATTTGCGAGTTAGGAGAATGTCATCGGGTAGTAAAAATCGATCTGGCTTGTTCGCACTGTTTGGTATGGTACCATACGAAATGTGCAAATGCGTCCTAACAACAGTTACGGGAGCGAAGTAGCTCCCAAGATGCATTTTGGTTCTGTACTGCGTGTTCCACCATCCCCCTCGTCTAGTGCTTGCTTATCCTAGCTGAGAAATGCGACGGGTTAATCGCATAAGCAGAGCAGAGGCTAAACCATAAGATTACTTCAATGGAACCGAGTATGGGCCACAGAAGTGTAGCGGCTGCTAAGCAACGGCTTGCTGAACAATCTGCTTCCCCTGCACCGCAATCAGCCACGTCTCCATCTCCGTTGTCTTCTCTAAAGTTGGTAGAAAGCCGGGCGAAAACAGACTGTACCTACGTGAATCAAACAGTACTCACAGCAACGAAAATCAGGCACCATGCAAAACGTCTGGTTAAGCAAATTCCACTAGACCTGACAAGGACCTAACAAGGATGAAGCAGCCAAACACCAACCCTTGGCACCTGTAGCTCAAATATCTCTTGTCGAGACTAAGCCTCCCAGTACATCGGTTACATATGCAGAGGTTGCTGCAAGGGTCCACCGAGAGGCCGCCGTTGTGTCCTCTTCCATTGTAAACACCGTTAACGCAAATAGAGAGATAAAGAACAAACAAGCACTTATCAACAAGTCAGAACAAATGAGTACCATACCTTGTAGATCGATTAAAAAGGGATCCAACAACAGTGCCCGGACTGTTTTATGCTCAAATGTCCCTGAATCTACCGCCATCACATTGCGGGAGAAGTTGTCTGACGGCCAAGACCAATGGAACTCATTGTGTATGCAGATGAGTATCAAAGACAAGCCCATAAACTTATTACGAATTACTCGTCATCCGAACTCGCCACACTATGGCGAACCCAGACTTATTCGAGTAACTCTAGAATCCTCCACCGACGTAGAAAACGTTTTGCTCTCAGTAAGCGCGCTAAAATGCGATTCTTGTGGGATACGTATCTATCCTGATATCGCTTGGAGCGCGCAACAACCAAAACGAAACACCGAAGAGGGGCACAACAAGCAAGACCGCCTAAACACAATCTTCATACATGGCGTGCCAGAACATCCTTCTAACGATGTTCAAGGGACGGAAAAGCACGGTAGAGTACAGTGGCGGTTCATTCGCGAAACACTTTCTTTGGATAATGTTGTGGCACTATCGCTCACCAGGATACCTCTCTCATTGAATTACGGAGGATGCGGCCCTAGAATCCTAAAACTTGTGGTTCAGTCAGAGCAACAAGAAAAGGATGTTTTGGACCGCTGGCGGAGAAATCGGAAGCATATTCCTTCCGAAATTCGGAAAAGGTCGCAAACACTTTGCACAGCTCAAATATTAAAGCAACTGAAGTAGCAAGCATACGGACGAATGTACAGAAGTGTAACTTGACTGTTGCTTTAATTGACTCTGACGTAGGTCTAAACGAAGGCTGGGGCGCACCTTGGCCGAATCAAGTTGCAAACGAAGTATCATTGACACATTAAAAATCGAGTAACTGCCGATCTCCCATCGGTCGGCATTCTCCCACACTTGACAGCTTTACCTCTCTGCGGGCTCCTAGAGACCGAGAAACTGGCCTGCTGGTATACAAATGTTTAGGGTTTTTCTAACAAACTGGCTGAACTGAAAGATCGCCAAGCTTCCGGCTCGTATGATATTATTGGTATCTCCGAGACATTGTTGCACACGGGAATGACGGACGCTGAAGTGCCGCTACCCGGCATGTCGCTGATCCGAAACGACAGGCTCACAAATGGAGGAGGGTTAAGCCTGTATTACCGAAAGGACTTACAGTGCTAAGCCGTGGAGGATTTAGACTCGCAATTCCCCGACTCACTTTGGTGCCGGTTGCAGTTAAAAAGCAGGGCCGCTTGCCTTGTTAAATAAATAAATAAATAAATAGTATATTCTCTGTAAAACGAGACACACCTCTAAAAGGCATGATCAAATATGCATACAAGCATAGCTTCTTTGGAATATTAAAACATTTCGTTACAATGAAAGGAATAAACGAAAAGATGTAGTCCATAAGAGCGAGCATATTGTCAGGTAATAGTCAGACCAAGGATCATAATGGCGCCGTGGCGCGCAAAAACTGTTGCGTCAAGATACAAGTGGGGGGTAAATTTGCCATGTAGTGATCCATCAGCACAGGAGCCCGAACAAGGTTTAGTGCAATCGATGACCATTACGAAGCCGGGATGATCGGTACTCCACTAAAGCATTCTTCATAGTAAAATCAGTTGCACAGGTTCGATGTTGGAGGCTGAGGACTGCGTCAGTGTGAAATGTATAGCTGTGACTTTATTTTGTGGCGAGTCACATCCGCCACGTTGCAGTGTTGTTAAGCGGACATTTGTGGCTTTTTATAGGGAGAACGCTTGCCAGGCGAAAACCCACCACGTCCTGGAACACTGTCGTAGCTTCCGTTGAACTGTAGTGCTAGTCGGCTATGCATCGTATAGACCGATTTTGCACTCTATTATTCGCAGTCGGTTGACAGCCAAAATTTTTCGTTGGTTGGTCAAATGGCTTAGTACTGAACCGGCAATAGTCGTTGAAGCCAGTCAATGATGTAAAACAGTCGCAAAGTCGAATGATAATGATGCGGGTGAGTAAACATATTGTTAATAGAGGCCGGCTTTTTCTATTATATTGTCCGGCTCGCAACCCGTGTCCAGCTATCCATGCTGGACTTGTCATAGGGACGGTGAGTGCAGTTGTTTCTTGTGTCTGAATATGTCCAAAACAGGAATAAATGCTATTCTCCGCGAAGTGGACAAGTATTTCCTTCAAATGTAAGTGTAATTGTTTCCATAACCAAGTGAGAACTCCAGGAAAAATCATCGGAAAAGCCGCTTATGCGCGCGCAGTGCTGTCCGTGAAATGACATCAGAAAAGCTCCAGGTGACTGGAGAATCGGAATGTTTGAGGCAGTGAAGGTAATCACGCCAGAATTGTCAGTCTCCGGTTGTGGAACAGTGGATCCATGTAACTACATTATTCCAGGTGAGTAAATTGTTCTACTGTGAGTACGAGGCGAGCTAAACCCATTTGTTTAGACCCCGTGGTGGTAGCTTCTCCAGAATGGCGGAAAGAGCTCCATTTGGAACGATGTGTGGGTTCTTCATCTCCCGGAGAAAAGAACAAGCATGTAAAACAGCTGGCTATTGAAAGTGGGTCGACTATTCCCAGTGGATAAACCTTCTTGTTTTGGCGGATGTATCTGTGGAAATCTCGGGAGAAAACGGGCAACGGACAAGAGGCAGCCAAACAGAAAGTCAGCAACGAAGCAAGAAGCACAAACACAGACTGGTGGCGCGCAACGGTGCCTATGATACATTAAAATTTATGTAATTTTGTTTAGTATACATGATTTGCAAGCGCGTTCTTTACATCACGTCGCTGGTGTGCCTCAGACTACAACTACTAGGTAGAAAGAAGGGTATAACAAAGCGTGTTGACAACGTTAAGCGATTAATATGATTCTTGGAGAGTAACAGGTAAACCGATTATGATGACAGCAGACCGAATGCGAGCGGCATCTTAGGTGAAACTAAGGACAACATGGTTGAGACCGAATGCGGGAGCAACATAGGTAAAGCAACGTTCCAAGAAGAAAAGGAAATTTAAGGAATCAGCTATGAGCGGAAGAATGCGGACGGCAGTGCGAAGAGTAACTCATGAGAGCAATTAAGAGACGATAGTCAGGATGAAAAAGGTTTACTACTAAAGTGTGGTGAGCCAGGGACGCTCTCGTGCGAAGTATGAAACGTTCAGTGCTGAAATAGCATCGGTAATATCCCGGTAATCTGAGAGAACTCTGAGAGCCGGAGACCGAACAGACGAGACTCGAGAAGTCGACACATCCGGAGGCCTCGTAATAGTCCCAGAGAATTTCACTGATCAGATAATGACAAAGAAGGGCATGGCACTAAGCGTCGGTCATCCGATTGAAGATTTGAGGGTACAGGTTACTGATGGAAGTGCCTATATTAATCAAGGGTAAACAAGTCTAGCGGGCTGTCAATGTAAGCAAGACATAGTTGTGAGTCTAGAGAGATTAGATCGGTATATCTTGCTAGTCTGGAAAAGGTCAAAGGAGCATACCGGTCAGATGAGACTAGGTTATTACAAGGCACTAAGAGTTGGCAGTCCGATTAGAGAAGAAATGATAGTACAGGGGCCATAAGGAGAGGAGACGGTCCGGATAGAGAGAGGTTAACTTATAAGGTGTGGAAAAGTCCACGGGGCTCGCGAGGTAATGGGGACGGAGCGTTCAGTCTTCCGAGCATAGCAGGCAGCGTCGCAGAAGTAGGAGAGAAGAAGACCGAGCTGCCGAGGTTGGACTTGGTCGGCGCATTGTGATTGAGTCCTATGGTTCATTTGGGAAGGTAAGTGGAGTCAGTAGGATTGGACTGGTCAGAGATAGAAGTGGTTATATCAACATAGGGCGAACAAGTTCAGCAGGATATCAAGGTGAGGGAGGAAGTGCTTTGGATCGACGGAGCCTAGACCGCTAACATCCCGGTAGCCTGGTAGCAGTCCCATAGAATTTGGCTGATCAGCTGAGGCTGAGTTACGGATGACAGAGACTCAATCGTCCGATTGAAGAATGATTGGATACGAACGGCGCTCAGTCATCTGAACGATGGCTAGTAATGTCACAGGAGTCTGAGAGGAGTTGGAAAGCAGGAGACCAAACAGACGAGACAGGATTAGTCGGCGAAACGACATTGAGTCCAACAGCTAATTTAAGGAGGGCAAATGGAGTGGGTCGAGAGGTGGAGGTGACTATATAAATAGAGGGTGAACAAGTCTAGCAGGCTGTCAACGTAAGTGCGATATAGCTTGAGTCTACAGAGTCTAGACCGTTTAAATGTTGCTGGTCTGGAAAGGGTCAAAGAAGCAGACCGGTCAGATGAGACTAGGTTATTACAGGGCACTGAGAGTTGGCAGTCCGATTAGAGAAGGAATGAAAGTAGAGAACGTCATAAGGAGACGGTCCGGATAGGGAGAGGTTTACTTATAAGGTGTGGAAAAGTCCATGGGGCTCGAGAGGGAATGGGGACAGAGCGTTCGCACTTCTCATTCAATGCCGGTAACGTCACAGCAGTCTGAATGAATTCGGAGAGCAGGGGACCGATCAGACGAGACTGGATTAGTCGGCACACTTAGAGTAAGTAGTACAGTTGAGGTGGGAAGGTAAATAAAGAGTCAGCGGAGACGGATGGGTTGGGATGCAAGAGGCTACATGAATATAAGGTATGCAAGTCAGGCAGGCTCGCAATGTGAGAGAAGTTGTGTGATGGTGATACAGAGCCTAAAACTACATTTCGCTAGTTAGGAAGCAGTCAAAGAGGATAATAGGGCAGGGCTCTGAGAGCTCGCTATGCGGATGAAGAAGAAATAAAGACAGGCCGCGATAAGGAGAGGACAGAGTTGAGAGTTTACGTTTACGGATATGAAATGCGACAGTTAACGAGGCTCTAGAGGTAATGGTGACAGAGCATTCAGTCTTCCGAGCATAGCAGGCAGCGTCGCAGAAGTAGGAGAGAAGAGGACCGATCTGCCAAGGTTGGACTTGGTCGGCGCATTGTGATTGAGTCCTATGGTTCATTTGGGAAGGTAAGTGGAGTCAGTAGGATCGGACTGGTCAGAGATAGAAGTGGTTATATCAACATAGGGCGAACAAGTTCAGCAGGATATCAAGGTGAGGGAGGAAGTGCTTTGGATCGACGGAGCCTAGACCGCTAACATCCCGGTAGCCTGGTAGCAGTCCCATAGAATTTGGCTGATCAGCTGAGGCTGAGCTACGGATGACAGAGACTCAATCGTCCGATTGAAGAATGATTGGATACGAACGGCGCTCAGTCATCTGAACGATGGCTAGTAATGTCACAGGAGTCTGAGAGGAGTTGGAAAGCAGGAGACCAAACAGACGAGACAGGATTAGTCGGCGAAACGACATTGAGTCCAACAGCTAATTTAAGGAGGGCAAATGGAGTGGGTCGAGAGGTGGAGGTGACTATATAAATAGAGGGTGAACAAGTCTAGCAGGCTGTCAACGTAAGTGCGATATAGCTTGAGTCTACAGAGTCTAGACCGTTTAAATGTTGCTGGTCTGGAAAGGGTCAAAGAAGCAGACCGGTCAGATGAGACTAGGTTATTACAGGGCACTGAGAGTTGGCAGTCCGATTAGAGAAGGAATGAAAGTAGAGAACGTCATAAGGAGACGGTCCGGATAGGGAGAGGTTTACTTATAAGGTGTGGAAAAGTCCATGGGGCTCGAGAGGGAATGGGGACAGAGCGTTCGCACTTCTCATCCAATGCCGGTAACGTCACAGCAGTCTGAATGAATTCGGAGAGCAGGGGACCGATCAGACGAGACTGGTTAAGTCGGCAAATTGAGAGTAAGTCGAACAGTTAAGGAAGGAAGATAAATAAAGAGTCAGCAGAGACGGATAGGTTTGGGATGCAGGAGGCTACATGGGTATAAGGTATGCAAGTCAGGTAGGAGTCTGAGAGAAGTTGGAAAGCAGGAGACCGACCAGACGAGACAGGATTAGTCGGCGAAACGAGATTGAGTCCAACAGCTTATTTTAGAAGACAAATAGGGAGGGGCAGCAGAAATGGACAGGAATAAACTGCATAAATGTAAGCGATTCCAGCAGACTGTCAAGGTGTATTAGGCTTAACATTGACTGCAGGTCCCAGACCATTTGCAACTCTGTAGTCATGGATGCAGTCAGACTGGACAAATGAGACTAGGTCATGCAGGGCACTGAGTTGCCATCCGATTGCAAGAGAAATGAAAGGAAAGAGCGCGATAAGGAGCGGACAGTTTGGGAAGGAAGGGAGCTTTATTAGTGCTGATTGAAGAATTTGTGTCTATATGTGATCGGGGCCGTTCTCCCAGAGCTCGTCCTCGGGGATGCAGATGCCCAGGATCTCGGCTACCTTGGGGACGCTTAATAGTCTATATATGGCCGTGGAGAATTGCGTGATACTATCAGATGCTCTGACGGCTTCCGGTAGCTTATTCCAGACATGCGCATATCTATAGAGGAAGAAGTTAGAACGTATGGAGCAACGTGTGTTGGGTAGGGAAAATGAGTGTGCCTTATGGCGTAGAGGATAACGTGTATCGCCAGGCGGCTGAAAAAAACCAGCGGCACTTGAGTGCGATATTTTGATTAGCTTATATAGGAAAACAAGGTTGGTTTTGAGACGTCGCAGCCAAAGCGGTTCCAGACCAAGCTGCTTGCAGCGGCCTTGATAGTTGAGCGCAGACGCTCCTAATAGACGTTTAGTGAACGAACGCTGGACTTTCTCAATAACCATCCTGTCACTTTTACGTGAGTTAGTAACAACCATTGAGCAGTACTCTACTATAGGCCTGGCACACAACTTATAGAGCATGAGTCGAGACTCTAACAAGCACATTGACTTCAGTATATAACCAATGATAGACCTGGCTTTGGCAGAGCTATAGCTCGCTTGTTCCGCAAAATTCAATGAACAGGAATAGTGTACACCGAGATCGCGCACAGTGAAGCTGTTATCAAGTGGTGTACCGTTAAGAGTTAATAGTTTGGGGGTATACAGCATCGGTAGGAAAGGACGTTGCATTTCGTTGGTGAAAACTCTAGTTTCCATAGATCGCACCATGTTTCAAGAGCACTGAGATCGCTTTGAATGCTAGAGAGACTATTACGTAGACAGCTAGGGTCAAATGAGAAAATAACTTTTATGTCATCGGCAAAAAGGTACGGCGTGCCGTGTTTGAAGACCTGGAATACATCATTAATGTACAACAGAAACAGCAGAGGACCCAGGACGCTGCCTTGGAATACTCCGCTGGTTACGGATGCCTTTTTGGATGAGATGTCGCCCAGTTGCACTGACTGCGTTCGGTTGGAAAGGTAGGAAGAAAACCATGAAAGGAGATGGCTGGAGACACCGTATGCTGCTAGTTTAGTCATTAAACCATTGTGTGGGACCCGATCAAACGCTTTTTTCATGTCCAGGAAGATAATAACCAGTGAATGACCTAGGTCGATGGAGTGTGTCACGTGGTTTAAGAATTCAAACTGGCAGGTTTGACAGGATTTAGTCGGCAAGAACCCGTGTTGGGACCTATTGATAAGGTTGCGTGGCAACAGAAAGCAAAGCATCGCGTCCTTTATTATTCTTTCCATGAGTCGAGACGCAATAGCTGTGTGACTAATGGGACGATAATTGTCAATATTTAGGCGACAGCCTCGTTTGTGTCGTGGTATGACGGTTGCGTGCTTCCAGCTGGACGGGTAGTGACCACTCTTCATTGAGAGGGTGAAGACATTGAGGAGAAGGACTGGAATGTCCGGACCTCCGAGTTTTA